TTTTTTTTTTCATTTCTCACCCAATACCTTTGTAACTTATGGCTTGCTCTTTGTTTTATGGGCTCTATTCCCACTGATCAGCTTGCTGCCGATGATTGTGCAGGCTTTCACAGGATAACACTGAGCACCACCGCCTGGAGGTTCTGCGGTGTCCAGCTCAGTCCCATCCCCACCAGATTTATTGCCCTTGCACTTTCTGTATCTCTGCTCACTGTGCTTCCTTCTCTTACTATGTCTCTCTTCTCCTTTCAAACTCTGCCTTCAAGGCCTGATTTGCAGCTTATCTCCCCTGTACCTACTCTACAACTCTGGCCTCAATCTGAATTGGCCTGGGTAGGTGCCAGCTGGCACTAACCGCTGGAGGAGAAGTAAGCTCATGAGACCCCCAAAGGTATTCTGGTTCCTCTCTAAAATCCAAACAAACCCATTGTTCCTTCTGTAATCTCAAAGCATTTTCATATGGGTCCTTTCATTTAATTGCAGTATACCCCTAGGAGAGCTGTGATCACCTGTACTGGTCTCTTGCCAGACTCAGAAGTATTGGAGGGCAGGATCCTTGACTTAGTCTTATTTTTGAATGCCTAGTTTCTAGCACAGAAGTTAATTTTAGCTTTATGTGCATGTGGTCAAACCTAAATCTTGACTATTCCATCCCTCTCCAGACCCCCACTTCTGACTACATTTATCAGTTTCAAGAGTATTGTAGTCTACTTAGAAGTATCATAAAATGTATTTCTACATCCATAGAGTATACAGAATACATAGTTCTATTTAAATAAACAATGTATCTGTCACCTAGGTTAAGCAATAAAGCAACTCTGCCTACAAAATAACTCCAAGATGATGATCAAGACCTTAGAGGTTCACAAGCTCACCTTTCCTCCCACCCTGGAAGTAATCACTACTTCATTTTTTGTTGTAATCACACTAATGTTTCTCTATATTTTCACTCATTCCAATCGCTCCAAGCAAGACATTTTAGCTTTGAATAGCAGTAAAAACCCCAGGCTAGCTGAGGAGAGGCAGTGATTATTGCAATCAAACAACTGGAGAGAAGCCAAACAGGCACAGCTTCCTCAAGCGTTTACTAGTCAGATGGCTCTGAGTAAATTCTTGAAAACACAAGCCGCTGGTGGTTAGGAAGCTGTTGTGTGAACGGTTACTCAGTGTCCTGACATAAACTATGCAATCTCTATCGACTGACATATTCCAGATAGAGATGGAAGTGCTCTGAAAAATCAGAATTTCCACGCTCACTTATGTTATGACCTCCCTTTTTTGTAATATCAAAATATTCTAAGCAACCATCAGTTTACAACCAGATTGCCTTAGCCTCATAAGGCGCTGCCTGGCTCAGGTGAGCAAGCACTGCCCAAGACAGGAAATTCCTCTAGAAAGCAAAAAATAATAGTACAACTGGCTGATTAATAAAAACAATTATAACAAAATCAATATTGTAAGACAAGGCAGTACTAGATCGTGCTAAAACAATAATTAAAGTTCTTTCAGTGCCCCGACCAGAACCCAAATCTTATCGCTCTACTGTCTTACTTAAGCTTTTATTGCTGAGTCTTTAAATGAGGAATCTTACTATCTCCCTTTTATCTACCAGAAAATTCCTCCATTCTAGTCTTCAACTTTACCTTCTTTCACAATTTCTCCTTGGCCCACGGCCTCACCTTATCCCTCTTCTCATCTCCAATCCAGTCTCCACCCTAACCCTTGACTTACTTTACCCTCTAAGATGTCTCAATAACAATGAAGATCATTAAGTAGCATCTAAGGTTTAAAGGGACTTTATTTTAGCCAATAAACACTGTAGTAAATATAACAATGTTAGCCTTAAAATTTTATGAATTTATGTACCTATCTTAACTTTAATAGATTGATTTTAAGAATAATGAATGTTATATCTCAGCTAAAGGGCCATCAGCCCAGTTCATGTGCTGATGTCATCCCACTGCTTGCTCCTAACATGTAAAATAAACTTCTGCTAAGAGCAGAACAGGAAGACTTGCACCCAACTCCGATTCCCGTGTCTTCTTTGCTCCCCTTTCCCCTTTTTGTCCTTTTCCCCCTTTTCTAGGAATCTCCGCTGGCTGATGCAGCTCCCACCTTGAGACTCTGCCAGTTCTGCCCTCCAATAATCCGTGATCGGGGAACAAAGGGTCTCCGACAGTGTCCCCCGGAACCATGGGCATGGGCTATTCTGCATTTTCTGCTTCCAGGGCCAATCTCCAGCTCTGAGGAACAGGTCAGGGCACACCCACACCCCTCCTACCTCAGTCAGCCAAGTGCAGGGACCAGAAATGTCATCAGCACAAGACAAGTTAAGTACAGATAAGTGCCTAGCTCAGGCTCATACGAGCATTATGTCCACAATTTAGAAACAAAGATATGAGAGAGCTCTGTACAGAGAATTACACTGCTCTAGTTGATGGAGCAGAATTCTCTCACTTCACTATCATCTAGGACATTTCATTTCCCCTCTCTTCTGGGTTGGAGCCCCTGATACCCCTCTCTCTGTGACCCCACCACCACCACCATCTCTGTTAGAATAGGCTACACTGTTGTAACAAAGACATGCTAGCATGACAGGAGCTTTTTTCTCTCATAACAACACAGAGACAGGCAGCTGGCTTTGCTCCTGAAGTAAAGCTCAGGCAGGGTGGTGCCAAGAGAAAGAGACCAGATATCAAAGGAAAATGAGCACAATGTGTCATTCCATTGTTCAGTCTTTCATATTTCTTCCATAGGTTTTAAGAAAGAGAGAATGGCATATAATATTTTTCAAACCTTGCTTACCTGAAAATCATTTTATTGGTAGTTCATTGGGTAGAGTTTCTAGTTGGATGTCATTCTGCTGAGGATACTTGAGGATACTGCTCATGTCTTTTGCTCTCTGTGTGGCCATGAAGATGTCTGAAGTCGTTCTGACTATTGGTCCTTTGTCGATAGACTCTTTAGTTTCTTGTTTGCTTCATACTCTGCAAGCTTTCAACATCTTTCCTTTGACCCTGCGCTCTCAATTAGTGTGGCAATGAGCCTAGGGTCTATTTTTAGACATATTGGGGACAACTCAGAGGCATGGAGAGTCCATTCAATCTGACAACTCCTATTCTTCACTTAGATCTTCTTGGATTATTTGTGCCAATGGATCAAATATGGATGGATGATTTAATGGATTTTATTAGATTATTTGATTTCCTCCCATCCATTTTCTCTGTGTTCTTTTCCTGGAACTCCTCATTTCATCTTGTTATACTTTCTATCTGTATTTTTTCCCAAGTGATTTACTCATTTTTATGATTTTACCTTTCTATTGAGTTTTCAATTTCTGATACTGTATCTTTTATTTCTAATAAGGCTTCAGATGACTTTTTTCTTATTTCTAGTAATTCTTTCTTGTCCCTAGTTGTTTTCTTTTTTATTCTTATTTTTATGGGTACACTCACTCCTTTTTTCTCTGAGAGGATATTAATTGTAGTTGGGGCTTTTCTAAATCTGTATGATTACTACATTTTCTTTTTTTCTCACGAATCCCTAGTTCTGTTTCTGCTTTACATTTGAATTTCTTCCTCAAATGTGTTGCGATCTGACTATCCATAAACATTTAAGAAGGTGATACCAACCACTAGTCAGAAGATTTGCATTTACACCCTGGGATTGTCAACTGTGTGCTGGACCTTAGGATCATTCAAATGTCCCTTCAGCAAGGTCTCTGACATTGCCCAATGTAAACTTTCACTGGGCTTTTCCTTTTTTCAATAGCACTTATCACCTAACATGTTGTTTTATTTGTTTCTTTTGTTTACTGCTTCCCCACTACAAGGCCTTTAAGAACAAGAATTTGTGTCTGTTTATTCACTGTTCTCTCAGCAGCAGCAAAAAGACAGCCAGGACACAGTAAGTTCTTGAAAAATACCTGCTTTGAAAGGACAAATGAATGATCAGATAGAGATGCCCCCTCCAAATGTTTTATTTATTTACTTTTTAAGCCACTTATGTTGGGGGCTGGACCTTAGCTGACAAGCAGGGGAGGGGGGCAGGACTCGGTAGCCCCTAGACTCATATCATCTCATTTTTTTTTAAAAGATTTATTTATTTATTTGTACATACAGAACTGGGGTACAGGCCAGAAGTGCAAGGGCGATGAGAGGCTTCACCAGAGACAGAGTGGGGAGCAGAATAAGCAGATGGATAAAATACACTGCTGAGGAGAGCAGCGGGCAGGTCAGGAGAGGTCTGCTGCACCATGTGGTCACCTCTGGGGCAGGCAGGAATCGAACTCATGCGGAAGTGGCTTTAGCTTCTCAGTGCTGTGCTTTAACCCACTGCGCCACCAGGGAGGACCCATGTCATCTCACTTTTATGGGCACTTTGTTGAGTAACTGTGATATGCAGCAATAGAAAGGACTGTCTGTTGGATGATGGTGCCAATGACCATCCAAAGACCATCGAGAGGTTGGAGAGGAAAGCAACAAAAATAATCAGGCAAAAAAAAAAAAAGTCATGGTGAAATCTCTACTGCTGT